ACATTTTTGCATAAAGAAAAACTGAGATAGTTCATTGCCAGTAGAACTGCACTAAAACAAATACTAAAGGAAGTACTTCAGGTTGAAGAGAAATGACAGATGGAAACTAAATCTAGAGGAAAAAATGGCCAGGTGCAGTGGCTCACATCTGTAATCTCAGTGCTTTAGAAGGCCAGGATATTGAGATCAGCTCAGGCAATACAGCAAGACTGTGTCTCTTAAGAAAAAAAGAATAGAACACACAGGAAATAGTGAATATTCAGGAAAATTTTTTTAGGTGTTTTATTTTTTGAGACAGAGTTTCGTTCTTGTTGCCCAGGCTGGAATGCAATGGCGTGATCTCAGCTCACCACAACCTCCACCTCCTGTGTTCAAGTGATTCTCCTGCCTCAGCCTCCTGAGTAGCTGGGATTACAGGCATGTGCCACCATGCCTGGTTAATTTTGTATTTTTAGTAGAAATGGAATTTCTCCATGTTAGTCAGGCTGGTCTCAAACTCCCAACCTCAGGTGATCCACCCACCTTGGCCTCCCAAAGTGCTGGGATTACAGGTGTGAGCCACCGTGCCCAGTGTTAGTATTTTAAAGACAACTGACTTGCAAAAATAATATTATCTTAAGGAGTTTATAACATATATTGAAATGACATAGTAGTACAAAAGAAGGAGGGTAAAAGGAAGTATACTGTTGTAAAATATGCACAATAATAAATGAATGTATATAATTTATATGAAATGGTACAATATTCTAAATGTAATAAGTTAAGGGAGCATATTGTGAAGCCTAGAGAAAAGTCAATGGAGGAAATAAAATGGAACACTAAAACATACTCAAGTAATCCAAAAATAGAAAGGAAGCAAAGAGGAACCAAAAACAAATTGTGGAAGTCAGTTGGGAAGAAGGAGGACTTAATTCCAATTTGAAAATAGAAACTCCAAAGAGATCATCGCTCTCACCCTAACAACTAAAACAAGCTGAATAAAAACCCATCAGAGACTGAGGACATGGGGAAATCTAAATCAGCTCCAAAGAGTGAGAAGCACATTTTCAAAGAGAAGAGATCCCTGGCTGCTATCATCCCTGACTGAAATAGAGGTGGGAAAAGAAATCTGCCACAGACAATGGTTAAAGAGAAAACAGTCTAACTTTGAAAGCTCTATGTGGACATACCCGTGTAGAACCCAGAGGATCCATAGGTATAGAAAGACTGTACCCCTGCTCAACACAGACACACAAACCACTCTGTCCCACCAACCTTCACCAAAAATGAGGGCAAGGAAAGAGAGCAAGAACTGAGATAATTTCCTCAATGTACTCTAGGCTTCCAGCAAGGGAAAACCTGGAGGATAGGTGGTAACAGAAAAGCCAAGAGAAACTTCTCAAGAGGCAAGACCCACCGTCACAGAGTACAGGGCGATGACAGTCAACCTTTACAGGCCAAGGATGGAGCAGCAGGATTCAAAGAGCTCTCAAGTCACAGAAAGCCAGAAGCCAAACTGGAGAGCAAAGAGAATTCCTCAGCAACTGAACCTGCTGGCAGCTGGTCTTTAAAGCAGGGAGATATCTCCTATAATTCAAAAAGATTTGGAATAGCCCATAAATACATGAGAAAGTGCTAAATAACATTAGTCAAGAGAGATATGCAAATTAAATAGAATTTTTTAAAAATGCAATACTACTTCACACCCATTATGATGGCTAAACAAACAAATAGACAACACCAAATGTTGGCAAGAATGTGGAGTAACTGCACCTCTCATACATTGCTGAGAGAACAGTGTAAAATGGCATAACCACTTTGAGAACTAATTGGCAAATTTTAAATATTGGATATAAAATTATATTCAAAGGCTTTTCAATGACAACAAAGAAACATGGTAAAATGTTAAGTCTTTTAAGAGAATGTAACATGTGACAAGTCTTGGCATGGACTATGGACTATGGAGACGGGGCTTATTAAGCAGATATCAACTGGTGCCTACTGTGGTCAAACAGGGACAAGATCACAGTCCCTCACATTTCTTTCCCAATTTAGAATACCCTCCCATAGTATGTCTCCAAACATAATAAAGCATTTAGGGGATGTATGCTTAGCCCCTTACATACTTAAATCATAACATCTGAAATCACCTCATGAGATGTATAAAGTGAATCAAATAATTGGTAAAACTTAGTCCATTGCTACTCATGGTGGCAAGAAAGAATAAAGTCTGTATACATGGCTCAATCAAAAGTTCCTATCCAAAATGTATAACTGTTAATGTATATAATTTTACTCAAAACAAGCAAAAGCAAACACAAATAGAAACAAACCCAGGAAAATAAAATCACAAGTATATGCCTCAAATTTCTTGTGTAACAGGAGAGATATAAATAAATTATATGAAAGTAGTCACAAAACATATAGCCTTCACTGGTTATTAAGAAGCAGTCAATGATATTAGAAGTACATCCTTAACCTCTAAGATATATAATGGAAGGAAATGACCATATTCTACCACATCATGTTTTTATATTACAGGAAAAGACAGAATAATACAACACCCAGAACAATGGTTTATCACAGAATTGCTTTTTGTGGGGGGTTAGGGACAGAGTCTCACTCCGTTGTCCAGGCTGGAATGCAATACTGCAATCAGAGTTCACTGCGGCCTTGATATCCTGGGCTCAAGAGATTCTCCCACCTCAGCCTCCCAAGTAGCTAGGACTAAGGTGTGTGTCACCATGCACGGCTAATTTTTTTATTATTATTATTGTTGGATTTTAGTAGAGACAAAGCCTCACTATGTTGCCCTGGCTGGTCTCGAACTCCTGGCTTCAAGCGATCCTCCTGCCTCAGCTTCCCAAAGTGGTAGGATTACAGATGTGAACCACCATGTCTGGCAGAATTGTATTTTTTGTATATTCTTTAAATGTATGTAAAAAAAAAAAGAGTTCATAAATACAGCATTATATTTATGCATTTTGGTTGTATATCTTATATAAGTTTCATATATGAAAATGTTAGGAAAATGTAAAGTATTATCTTTACTGATACATTTTCTAGGCAATCCTCAAAAGAGTATCTCATTTTCTGGGTATCTGAATGTACAAACTTGATGAAAGCTAGAATGATGAAACACCATTGGCCTGATGATATATAATAAAGGAAAGACCATATTCCTGTATTGTGTCAAAAATTTTTATATTAACTATAGTTAGAAAAAATAAGACATTCATTATATGAGGGTAAAAAAATATTTTTTAAAACACAGTCACCGCTGACTGGTGCCTTTTTTTTCTTTTTTTTTTTTTTTTTGAGGTGGGGTCTCACTCCGTCACTCAAGCTGGAGTACAGTGGTGTGACCTCGGTTCACTGCAACCTCCGCCTGCCAGGTTCAAGCAATTCTCCTGCCTCAGCCTCCCAAGTAGCTGAAACTACAGGCACAACACCACCACACCCGGCTAATTTTTGTATTTTTAGTAGAGATGGGGTTTCACCATGTTAGCCAGGTTGGTCTCGAACTCCTGACCTGAGGTGATCCACCCACCTTGGCCTCCCAAAGTGCTGGGATTACAGGTGTGATCCACTGTGCCCAGCCTGACTGGTGCCATTTTTATATATAGTATTGAATCTATATATTAAGGCCGGAACATAAAGTCTAAAAATTAATCTGTTAGTATGTTTTAATTTAGACATTTCTGTACTTGAAAAAACAAAGAAATATCATAGACTTTTTCATTCGTGGGTTTAACATGCATAATTTTTAACATTCTCATGTTACCCTGAAGTTCTATGACAGGTAGTAATTTGTAATTTTGTTTGAGTCACATATTTCACCTAGATACACTAAAAGGCTGGTTGGTATTCTCGAGTTGGTTTTACTCAAAAGAGTAAAAATAATCTCAGACAAATTAACATCTGTATCTTTCTCTGCTCATTCTTGAATACACAGTAACTTTCATATAATACCTGAAGCGTAAGTTTTTTATTTTTTAATTATCATGTTTTTTAATACATGAAATCATATATGAGAGTGGGATTTGCAAATATGTGGATTCACAAAGCAAGGTCTCTGGATGCTCCTCCCAAGCAATCAAAGCGTTTAATGGCGGCTGTCAATAAAATGCAAGGTTTTAGTACTGCCTATCTATAAGGTACATTCATAATTTACTTACATGTTCAGCAGGCAGAATAGACAATCCTAAGTCTCAAATGTAAATTGTTCTACTAAATTTTAGCATGACTCCTTTTAAAATCAAAGTTAACATACATTAGGTCAGGCGTGGTGGCTCACACCTGTAATCCCAGCAGTTTGGGAGGCCGAGGCAGGTGGATCACTTGAGGTCAGGAGTTTGAGACCAGCCTGGCCAACATGGTGAAACCCTGTCTCTACTAAAAATTCAAAAATTAGCCGGGCGTGGGGCCACGCGCCTATAGTCCCAGCTACTCGGGAGGCTGAGGCAGGAGAATCGCTTGAACCTGGGAGGCAGAGATTGCAGTGAGTTGAGATTGTGCCACTGCACTCCAGCCTGACGACACAGCGAGACTCCGTCTCAAAAAAAAAAAAAAAAAAAAAAAAAAAAAAAAAAAAAGTTAATGTACATTAGTTACCTCACTGGAGAATAAGAGAAAACACTGCAGGTATTTGACTTTTGGATAGTAAAATGATTATATCATGCAAAGCTCACCTAAATTCTCTTATGTGAAATTCAGAATTGAAGTAGCTCTTTGTACAAATATTTTGCCAGAGCAGTAATTCAAAGGGATATTGGTTGCAATGCACAATTGTAGTAATTGTAGCTATATCTAAAATATAAATGCTACCTTTTTACATTTGCATCACAAAAAAGACTCTTAGTAATATTTCGCCCACATTCCTTAAAGTTTCATCTTCAAACAAATGGACAAATACTTACAAATACATCTACAGCCCATTGCCTAGACATACAGTGAGAAATATGAAGAAATATAGATTTATACTAGACAAGAAACTATTGTGTGCTATAGACCATGATTACCTGGAGGTAGGAATTGCAGTTGGTTATTAGCTAATCGAAGATGACGTAAAGCTCTCAGACGACCAATTTCTGGGCAAACAATTTCTAAGGCATTGTCACTAAGATCCAGACATTGGAGTTTTACAAGAGACCCAATGGCTTCAAAGAGAAAAGGAGAACCAAAATGAATTTGATTCAAGTATTACATCAAATCTGTAATGCAAGTATTCCAAGTTAAAATATTTTACTACTTAATATCCTTGTCTCAGTTGCTCACAAAACAGTAAAAACACGGATCAAACTAAGTTGAAGAAAGTGATAAATACTTCCAGCTCAAGATAAAATATAACTTAAAATACAGCACAAATAAAAACATTAAAACTAAAATAATTCAAGAAATGATACACAGGGCCTTTTTTATCTGACCAGAATTCTTAACTAGATTTATTAAATTTAGAACTTATTATCTACCTAATAGGAATTTATCTAATAATAGTTTACCTAACTATTATAACCATTTTAGACTTATTTATTTAATTATAGTTCTTAACTGGACTTACTAGAAGAAAAAAAGTTTTGAAGCTAAAAAATTAAAGGTGTCTTAAAATTAAAATTTGTTCTATTTATAAAGCAAAGCTTAAATTATATTATCTTCTAACTAAAAATTTTAAGTAAACATACCTTCCGGAACCACAACTATGTTATTTGAGTGCAGGTATCTAGGAAGGAAAAAGAAAAAAAATAGCTATTGTCATTAAGTACTTTTGTCAGATAATCAGTTTATAAAATGCTCACTTAGAAATTTATCAAATATAAATAGGCCACAACTTTCACACCCTACTCTAATGCATCGACATACAATAATGGTTAGCACAGCTAACTAATAATACTTCGAGAATAATCTTTTGTACTAGAATTGCAAATATTAAATCTATTTACTGATTTAGTTATTTTAAAATAAAAGCATACATAATAGATAAACTATACGTTTTTTTTTAACTTCATAACACAAATTACTAGTTTTTCCAGTTCATTTTATTCAGGCTTTAAAAAATATACTTATTGTGAGAAAAAAATCAACACCTATTGTGTAAAGGAAGATGAACTTTTCATTTCTAAAAAATAACTTCACAAAATAAAGATACTTCTAGCTAGCACGCATACTGAGAACCAACAACGGAGAGATTAAATACTCTTCATTTACAGTGTCTGTAGAACTACTCAACTGTCAACGTACAGAATTTATTTCATGGCAAAAGAAATTTTGTAACAAGAAATCAAATGTTTCTCTTAAAAAATTTTCTTTTTCACAGAGGCTAGAAAGTCTAGGCAAGCCTAAGTAACACTTTTCCCACTACAGTGTCTTGAGCACACTCTGGTGGAGACTTCCTGCAATCAGTAACCAACTATTCAGAGCAAAACAAGTGAATGCTGGAGATCACACAGCAATAATTTAAGAAAATAAATTTATATCATTGATTTAGAGACAACAGAACTAGATTTTAGTAAACTTTACTTTCAAACCTATGGTTTTATTTATTGTACTTTAAAAATAAATCTTATAAAGTACTTTTAAATAGAATTTAAAAGTTTTCTTCTGCATTCTTAAAGTCTAATATTGAATATTAAAATGTCAATAAACACAAAATAAGACAGAAAGCACTTTTATGAAGATTATTTTATATTGAATTAAATCAATTTTGTAGAAGGTTAATTAACCTGCTGGGTATAACACAATTTAAATAAGCCCACCATTTACTCTATGATATACTTCAGTCCTTGCTTTCTGTATATGAAATGATTACACATTTTAAAATCAATACTCTTTAAACATTAATTTTAGGAAGGAATACCCAAATCAAAATAGAGAACTGATTAAAAAATTTTTTTTAAACAAAATACTTGCCTCAATTCAAGCTCTACCTATAAAAAGACATTAAAATGTCCAAATCAAAATATGAACTAAAGTACCCATTATTATGATTAGAATTTTTCAAACAGACTTTAAAATATTATCTACATATAATGAAGATGCTGTATGAAATAGTACACAGTGGCTGCCTGTGGATGCTGCTGAAGAAGCATCGTTAAAGTCTCTCCTCCCCCTGCCATCATGTCTAAGTCAGTCTCCTAAAGAGCCTGAACAGCTATGGAAGCTCTTCATTGGAGCTCTTCATTGGAGGCGTGAGCTTTGAAACAACCAATGAGAGCCTGAGGAGCCATTCTGAGCAATGGGGAATGCTCATGGACTGTGTGGTCATGAGAGATCCCAACACCAAGCGCGCCGGGGCTTTGGGTTTGTCACTATGCCACTGTGGAGCAGGCGGTTCTGGAAATTTTGATGGTGGTCGTGGAAGTGGTTTTGATGGGAATGACAACTTTGGTCGTGGAAGAAACTTCAGCAGTCATGGTGGGGTTGGTGGCAGCCATGGTGATGGTGGATATGGTGGCAGTGAGGATGGCTACAATGGATTTGATAATGATGGAAGCAATTCTGGAAGTGGTGAAAGAATGATTCTGACAATTACAACAGTCAGTCTTCACATTTTGAACCCATGAAGGGAGGACAATGGTGGCAGAAGCTCTGGCTCCTATGGTGGTAGAGGCCAATACTTGACAAAACCATGAAACCAAAGTGGCTATGCCAGTTCCAGTAGCAGCAGTAGCTATGGCAGTGTCAGAAGATTTTAATTACTGTCAGGAAACAAAGCTTAGTGTGAGAGGAGAGCCAGAGAAGTGACAGGGAAGCTACAGGTTAAAACAGTTTTGTGAACTCAGCCAAGCACAGTGGTGGCAGGGCCTAGATGCTATAAAGAAGACATGTTTTAGACAAATACTCATGTATATGGGCAAAAAACTTGAGGACTGTATTTGTGAATAATTGTATAACAGGCTATTTTAGTTTCTGTTCTGTGGAAAGTGTAAAGCATTCCAACAAAGGGTTTTAATGTAGATTTTTTTTGCACTCATGCTGTTGATTGCTAAATGTAGTAGTGTGATCATGACGCTGAATAAATGTATCTTTAAAAAAATAATACAGAGTGTTGCCAATCCTAACTGTATGTTAGAATCACCAGGGGTCTTACTGGTGTCCGAAACCATCCTGTAGCAAGTGAAACACCATCTTAACTCCAATAATCCTGATGTACAACCAATTAAGAACCATTACTGGTAAAGTGGATCAGACAGCGGGCTCTGAAGCCACACTGCCTGCACCTTAATAGCCATGTGACTATGGAGAAATTACTGAACTGCTCTCTCTCCTAATCTATGATGTTGCAGGGACTAAATGAATTAATATATGTAAAGCTCTTAGAATAGCGCTTGACTCCCAGAAGGATTTAAATGAATGCTCTTGTTATTGTTGTTATTATAGTTATTATGAGTCATTTGTAGTCATAGGCTTAGGACTTTCAAATTTAAGTCACTACCTTTTACTTAATTTTGATAATTTCAGAGTAGTTGAAATGTTGATGTTTCAATGTCCTTATTATGTTCCTCTTCTACTCAAATAATGCAGGAACTCTCATTCATTGTTGGTGGGAATGCCACTTTGGGGTATACACACTTTGGAAAATGGCTTGGCAGTTTTTTTAAACAACGTTAAATGTAGATGTTTACTTAATAGGAATATTCCAAAGTCAGCTTCTTTGTTTTGACAAATGAACCATGGAATTCTTTTTTTTTTTTTTTTTTTTTTTTTTTTTTTTTTTTTTTTTTGAGATGGAGTCTCCCTCTGTCACCCCAGTTAGAATGCCATGGCTCGATCTCTGCTCACTGCAACCTCCGCCTCCCCGGTTCAAATGATTCTCCTGCCTCAGCCTCCTGAGTAGCTGGGATTACAGGTGCTTGCCACCACACTTGGCTAATGTTTTTTGTATTTTTAGTAGAGATGGGGTTTCAGCATGTTAGTCAGGCTGGTCTCAAGCTCCTGACCTCGTGATCCGCCCACCTCGGCCTCCCAAAGTGCTAGGATTACAGGCGTGAGCCACCGCGCCCGGCCTGTACCATGGAATTCTAAGATGTTAACAACAGGACAAACTGGGTAAGGGGTATACCAGAATGCTCTGTACTATGTTTATAACTTTTCTATAAATATAAAATTGTTCCAAAATAAAAAAGTTATTAAAAAAAATTTTTTTAGGTTGGGTGCAATGGCTCACACCTGTAATCCCAGCACTTTGGGAGGCCAAAGCAGGTGGATCACCTGAGGTCGGGAGTGCGAGAGCAGCCTAACCAACATGGAGAAACTCGTCTCTACTAAAGCTACAAAAATTAGCTGGGCGTGGTGGCACATGCCTGTACTCCCAGCTACTCGGGAGGCTGAGGCAGGAGAATCTCTTGAACCCAGGAGGCGGAGGTTCCAGTGAGCTGAGATTGTGCCACTGTACTCCAGCCTGGGCAACAAGAGCAAAACTCCATCTCAAAAATAAATAAATAAATAAATAAATAAATAAATAAATAAATAAATAAAATTTAATTAAAGAAACAGGACTCCTACTTTCAGTCAGGATGAATCACAGCAATGGAGTAAACGGGATTTACCCAACTGTTATAAACAAGAAAACCGGATGAAATACAGTCACATGCCACTTAATGACTGGGATATGTTCTAAGAAATGTGTTATTAGGTGATTTCCTTGTTGTGCAAACATCATAGGTGTTCTTGTTTTATTTTATTTTATTTTATTTTATTTGAGATGGAGTCTCGGTCTGTCACACAGGCTGGAGTGCAGTGGTGCAATCTCGGCTCACTGCAAGCTCCACCTCCCAGGTTCACGCCATTCTCCTGCCTCAGCCTCCCGAGTAGTTGGGACTACAGGCGCCTGCCACCACCACGCCTGGCTAACTTTTTGTATTTTTAGCAGAGACGGGTTTTCACCTTGTTAGCCAGGATGGTCTTGATCTCCTGACCTCATGATCTGCCCACCTCGGCCTACCAAAGTACTGGGATTACAGGCGTGAACCACCATGCCCAGCCCATAGGGTGTTCTTACACAAACCTAGATGGTAGAGCCTACCACACGCCTAGGTTGTAAGGTGTAGTTGCTCTTAGGCTACAAATCTGGACAGTATGTTATTGTACTGAATACTGCAGACAACTGTAACACCATCAGACAACTGATACACAATGTATTTGTATATCTAAACATATGTAAACATAGAAAAGGTACAGTATAGAAGTATAGAAAAGGTACAGTAAAAACACAGTATTATAATCTTATGGGACCACCATTACATATGTGGCCTGTCATTGACCAAAACATCATTATGCTGTGCATGACCTTACATGAAACAATTATTTTCAGATATTAACAAAGGCAACTAGGACTACATTCCCTACGAGAAAGGAAGTAAGCCATACAATCTCCCTAGCTTTCTTCCTAGAGGCAAATTCTGGACTGTAGAACAGGAAGGAGAGCCCAAACAAAGTACAGAAGTCTCACTGAGTTATGGAGACACATATCAGAGTTCAGGGGACACATATTAGAGTTCAGGAACCTGAGGCAACTGGAAGTTGTGGGGTAAAGTTCTGAAGAAGAGAGAGCCGCTACTACAAAAAACAAACAAACAAAAAAATTTACATAAGGAATCCCTTGGCCTCACTCATAGCTGAATTCTAGCACAAACACACAGAAGAGAAACTCTAGCAGGGTACAGTGGGTCATACCTGTAACCCTAGCTACTTGGGAGGCTGAAGCAGGAGGATCACTTGAGG